AAAACTTGTGCATGCTTCGTGAAGTTCTCGTGTTGTGTTTTTCAGCTCCATCAATTCATTTATATTCCACTCTAAGTTGTCTATTCTGGTTACATTTCGTCAAATCTTTTTTCAAGGTTCTTAGTTTCTTTGCATTGGGTTAGAACATGTTCTTTTAGCTCACAGAATTTTCTTATTAGCCACCTTCTGAAGCCTGATTCTGACAATTCAACACACTCATTCTCCATCAGGCCTTGTTCCCTTGCTGATGACGAGCTGCGACCCCCTGAAGGAGGAAAGGCATTCTGATTTTGGATGTTTTCAGCCTTTTTGCACTGGTTTCTTCCCATCTTTGTGGATTTATCCACCTGTCGTCTTTGTAGTTGACGACTTTCAGATTGGGTGTCTGAGTGGACCCAGTTTGTTGATAATGAAGTTATTTCTGTTTCTTAGTTTTCCTTCTAACAGTCTGGCCCCTCTGCTGTAGGTCTGCTGAGGTCCACTCCAGGCCCTGCTTGCCTGGGGATCACCTGCAGCAGCTGCAGAACAGTAAAGGTTTCTACAAGTTTCTTCTTCTGCTGTCTTTGTCCTAGAAGGATACCCACCAAATGTCTGAGCTCTCCTTTATGAGGTGACTCTTTCGTTATATGGGGGTCAGGGAACTCCTTGAGGAGACAGTCTGCCCTTTATAGGAGCTCAAGTGCTGAGCTGTGGGCTCCATTGTTCATTCAGAGCTGCTGTGTGATTTCCCATGTGGTGACCTACTGCGCCAGCTGAAATAGTGGTGCTGAGATTCATGGAGCTTTTTTGCTAGGGAATCTCCTGGCCTGGCTCCCTGTTTTAGTCCCCTTTTTAATCAGCTGAATGGGCGACTCTGCCTTCCCGGAGCTCCATTCGCCAGCCAAAAGGGCACCCAGTCCTGTGTATTTTGTATTGAGAACCGCCACACCGGGGCGTTGGCAAAACAGCCGCTCCGGCCAAAAGAGTCACACTGGCGACCCATAGGGCTCCTCCACCTGGGAATCTCCTGATCCATGGCAACAAAAATCCATCTGGAAATGCAGCATCCACTCACCCTCTGCACTTTCACTGGGAGCTGCAATCCTGAGCTTTTCCTAATCAACCATCTTGGATCTCTCTCCGATCATATCTTTTATATGTTTTAAGTATATGAAGCACTTCTTTTCCTTTTTTTTTTTTTTCTTTGAGACAGTCTCTTGCTCTGTCACTTAGGCTACACTGCAGTGGCAGGATCTCAGCTTACTACAACCTCCACCTCCCAGGTTCAAGTGATTCTCCTGCTTCAGCCTCCCAAGTAGCTGGGATTTACAGGTGAGTGCCACCACACCTGGCTAATTTTTGTATTTTTAATAGACACAGGGTTTCACCATGTTGGCCAGGCTGGTCTCAAACTCCTGGCCTCTAGTGATCCACCCAGCTCGGCCTCCCAAAGTGCTAGTATTACAGGTGTGAGCCACTGCATCTGGCCCCGTATGAAGCATTTTTAAAAAGAGAATGTGTGTGTGTGTGTGTGTGTGTGTGTGTGTGTGTACACATGTTGTTCCATATAAGTAAATAAAAACAGTATAGCTTTAAATCAAAAGATAAGGCCAGGCATATCAGATCATGCCTATAATCCCAGCACTTTGGGAGGCTAAAGTGGATGAATCACTTGAGTCCAGGAGTTTAAAACCAGCGCCAACACCCACCCACCCACCCATGCACGCACACACGCAAAATTAGCCAGGCATAGCCAGGCACGGTGGTGTGTGCCTGGGGTCCCAGCTACTCAGGAGGCTGTAGTGGGAGGACTGCTTGAGTCCGGGAGTCAGAAGCTGCAGTGAGCCAAAACTGCACCACTGCACTCCAGCCTGGGCAACAGAGTGAGACCCTGTCTCAAAACATAAAAATAGGCCAGGTGTGATGGCTCATGTCAGTAATCCCAGCACTTTGGGAGGATGAGATGGGTGGATCACCTGAGGTCAGGAGATGGACACCAGCCTGGCCAACATGGTGAAACTCCACCGCTACTAAAAATACAAAAAAATTAGCCGGGTGTGGTGGCGCATGTGTGTAGTCCCAGCTACTCAGGAGGCTGAGGCAGAAGAATCACTTGAACCTGGGAGGCAGAGTTTAGTGAGCTGAGATCACACCACTGCACTTTAGCCTGAGTGAGACTCTATCTCAAAAAAAAAACAAAACAAAAAAAAACCACTTTGGTTCAATTCTTTGAAATACTAACTTCCACAACACCGTCTTCTTTAATTCATCTTATTTTGGTTTGATGACAACACTTAAGTATCAGGGATAACAGAATAAAATTCAAACTTAATCTAGCCTTCCAGTACTCTCAATGACAACGTAACACCCAACCATAAATTCATAAATTCAAATAACTAACAAGTAGACAGTGAAATACAAAGCTATGATTTATTTGATCTTGGATTACACATTACACTGCCTAAAATTCTCAACATTAGAACCATCCTCAACCAACTACTATTTTACCAGAATATAAAAGGTCAGTTGACAAAATTATAATCTTGGACATTACCAAAAATATCAGCTACCTAGTGTTAACATTAACTCAGGTATTTAAAAAGTCATTTGTTCTGAGACAGCACTATAAACAAAAATACAGTAACGACCCATTCTCTTTCAGGAAGAGACTGCACTAAAGAATCAAATGAATTCATAAGAACAAACATGGTTTAACAAGTCCATCATAAAAGTGGGTATACAAATGATCAGAATAACCACTGACTCATTTAAGCAAGGTGAGCTGATAGAAATATTTCCAAGACTCATAAAATGCCTGGATTCTGTCACTGACATAGCCACATTTACCTGGATATTAACAATAGTTCCAAATTTGCTGAAGTGTTCATTGAGCTTAGTAATGTTGTTCAATTCCTGAGGGATTTTCTTGACTTCTAATTTGGTATTTGTATACTGATTCTTTCGTAAGAACCCCGGTTTATTTTGATTGTTATTTCCTTGCCTAAAAGAAAGATTAATATATCTTGGTTAATTCTCCTACTTCATACCTAGGCAAGAGATATAACCACCAAGAATTTAAGTTTATATATATATACTTTGTTTTTTTCTTTTTTTGTTTTAAAGTGCCTTTTGTTGCTAGGCATGGTGGCTCACATCTATAATCCCAGAAAACTTTTTCAAAATCCTCATTATATTCAAAATTCAAACCATAGAAAATATATTAACATCAAGAAACAGGTTAGAGGCTGGGTGCAGTGGCTCATGCCTGTAATGCCAGCACTCTGAGAGGCCAAGGCAGGAGGAATGCTTGAGCCCAGGGGTTCCAGACCAGTCTGGGCAACATAGTAAGACCCTGTCTCTATATAATTAATTAATTGATTAATTTTTTAAAGTGCCTCTTGTAAGCCCTTAACATTCTTCAGAAATTACTAAGCAATTTTCACATTGTTCTCATCACATGAGAATAAAAAAGTTGAAGAGAAAGGTGAACGCAAAAGATTACCAAAAGAAAATGCCCAACTGAAGCTTAAAATCATATGCCAAAAAGAATACCACAATTATCAAGGAGTC